TCTCTCTCTCTCTCTCTCTCTCTCTCTCTCTCTCTCTCTCTCTCTCTCTCTTTTTTTTTTAGGTGAGCGAAATTCGTGATTGTGTTTTAACAAGACCACCTTCCCTGATGCCATTTTTTATCACTATATCTTCGTAACATAGCTAATGTAAGGGAAATAATCAAAGAACAATTTCTGAATTTCTGAATTTGACTATTTAAATATCAGATACAAAGAACAATTTGACTATTTAAATATCAGATACAAGACTTTTTTCCTTTGACCATTGCTGTATTGGTGAACTGTGGCCCTGGTATTCCCCGTTTTAAGGCCACAGTGATGCAACAATAAGGCACAGAAGGAGTTACAGTGGAATCCTGTTATAACGAGAGGGAGGGGACTGGAGCAAAATGTCCGTTATAGCAGGATTCTCGCTTTAAGGGATCCAGTAATAAATTCAAGGGAAACTGTAAAGGAGGCCTTATCTATGAGTTTGGTGTTCTGTTTATTTCCTTTTGCTATCTCCCCTTAGGATGATTTTGTCAACAAGACCTCTTGGTCTTACTTGATCAAAAATTGAATCAGGTTTCTTTCTTTAGCGATGTGGACTGACAGCTCAGCGTTGGCGATCAGTAGGAAAGGGCCCTGGGCTAACTCCCCCGCTGTGTTTTCCCCCACCCCACCCCACCCTGTGATGCATTCTGTCTGCTTGCGCACGTCACACATTCGCTCCGTCCATCACATTGATGTGACCTTTCCATCTCCGCATCGGAGAAGAGAAGTGAGAGGCATGGTAGGCCTTGGTAATCTGAACTAGGCTTACGCTGGCCTATCCCGCGATGCGTTCTGCTTGTCTGCATATGCCACACCCTCCCTACTCAGTTGCTCCGGCCTTCATTGTTGACGCACATGGGCTCTCCTATTCTTTGTTTCGTAAGATAACCAACAAGTTTCTTTATTGGCGAGGGTTTGCATGATGTATAATTGGCCTATCCACTGTTCACAGCAGCAGCAATATTCCGCTATAACCGACTCGCATGTTTGTCTGATAGCGCTATAACAGTATTTTATTTACAAAGGTAAAGAGGAGAAAAAAACGGGGTTTTAGAATTGTATCTTTATAACAGACTTCTCGTTTTTTTCCGGACTCGTTATAAGTGGGCTCCATTGTACTAAACTATGTTGTTAATTTGCTCTGTTTTTAGTATTATAATACATGAGGTATACATTACACGTGCATTCATAGCTCTGCGAGGCGAGCTAGTAATCACAATGTATGAAAAGTGGCCAATATATGAGGGCTATCTCATTAAGGTTTTGGGCTTGGACGAAGGGTTTATAACTCATTATGATATTGTCCATTATCTGGTCATGGCTGAATCGTTTCCCTTGACGTTGGGCAGCTAGTACCATTTTTCAGAAGATGGCTGTTAAATAATATATATCTGTCCCAAGGTTGGTAGTGTGTAAGGGGGTTTGATTGTAACTTCTTAATTTAAATGCTTATTGTTTTGATCTTATTATAATTTTACTGTTTACCTTTTTAAATTAATTTGACTGTGATAATAATGATAATATTTATTTTCGGTCAAGATTCTGGTCATTTTGTTTATATTTGAATCCTTCAAATTTAATCTGTTTTGTAGATTATGACTATGAATTGACAGTGCCTTGTCAGTTACTGGACATTCGCACAAAATACCCTTCCCCCCCCCCCCCATTGTCAAACTTTGTGCTAATACGCACAACCACACCCTTCCATCTTTTAACTTGTGAAGTTGTGTTATTAGCCTAGTTACTGTTACATGTATATATATCTAGTTCCCAGTTGTACATATTTGTGCTGTTTTACTGGACACAATTAGGCGCTAAAAATAACCAAAAGTAACAATTCGTGCAGTCACCAGAGTATGAGAAGAGTGTCCTTTTGATCTCTTTAAGTTTAAGGGGGCTTGATACTAATGGGAGAACATTTGTAACCAAAGACAAACTGAAATAACTTTTGTCACAGGGAGTATGAGACAAAAAATTCATGATCAACAGTTGACCTGCTCGATTATGTGAGCCGTTGCCATGGAAACAGCAGCCATCTTGAAAACTGGATAAAACTTTTTTCTTCACCATATTTTCAGTTTTTAACTTTTTAAAATTCTCTAACTTGCAAAATGCCACAAATAAAGAGGTGTCTGCATCTGGCTATTTGAATTTTAGCGCAAAATATTTGAAAAATAAACAGCCCGCAAGTAGGCCTACAAACCATTTGTCTGACTACAAATGCCAAATTTCAAGTCTCTTGTGTTGGAAAATTAAAAAAATGATGGAGGAAAAAACTTGGCATGTGCATGCACAAAGTGGTGAAAAAGTGCTTTTTGAGAAAAACAAGGTTAAACATCGGAACTTGTAGTACACAACGTAACCCAATCAAATTGCATTCTGTTAATGTTAATCAATCGACGACTACTGTCAATATAATCTAGACTGAATGAGGGATCGGGGGGGTGGGTTTGACAGACTGCTATGCAAAAATCTGCTAAGACTAAAAGCGTACGGATAGGATTATCGAGTAAGTTTTCTCTTTGGAAAGTGGTGGCACAGAGTTCTCCTCGTCGTATGGATACGATAGTAAAACACAACGTACGGATAGGGTTAAACTTGGATGAATTAATGGAGGGAGGGGCAAGTTTGTGGCAGTGTACATGATATACGCGAAAGAGAGAGTTGAATTTGTTTACAGGTATATGTTTACTGTTTGTATGGGGTTCGTGTTCCTTTTTGTACAATGGCAAAACCTGGCAGTGAGCAGCACGGAGGTGTTTTGTTGGGTTGGGGTGGGTTTTTTTTTTAGAAAACGCAAAAAAATAATGTTAATGCGAGGGCCTTGGGGTTCCGTGAGTTAGTGCCCAAACTCTTCCTGTATGAATGCTGCTGTTTTTCTTATTATTCTATAGAGCTCTATTTTGGAGCAAAATTTATAAGTTAAACAGTCTAACATGCAAATTGAAATCGGCGGGACAAGGAAATCTTTTCATTTTTAAAATGAATTTTGTTACTCGCTTGTTTTAAATACAAAGAAAAATTTCTGGTCCTGAAAATCTACACCTGTGCTCTGTTATTGTGTTTGTTGTACATGTGCTAGACTAATTATTGGATTGATCCTTACTAACTTTTTGTTGTCTTTGTTGCCCACAGCTGCGAGAGGCAGAGGTCAGCGTGGTAGAGGAGGAGGCAACATTTTCCAAAAACGCCGCTGAGAACACCCAAGTTTTCATCCATTCATCTTTACATATACGCTGGACCATTGATGCTGTTGTTTAGTGTGTTTTTTTATGAACAGTTGTGTTCACTGACTGGGAAGGGAAACTGCAGTCGTTTTTGCCGTTTCAAGTGCTGTAGAAAGGGAAGTATGCGTGCAAGTGAAAGTATTGCTTGGGTGTTTAAATGAAAGAAGAGTGTGAGATGTTAGTGGAGTGATTGGCAGAATTTGATGTTACTATTTTTATCTTGTAGAATTGTATTCCATTGTTTTTGCATCAGTGACATTGCCATAGTTTTGCATCATTTTGAAAAGCTCTGTTTCATATGAGGAGACGAATATTTTCTGTTGAGAAGAGCATTTAGACACATTTGTCTGAAAAAATATTTTCATTTTTCTGAAATTGTCCTCATTGCTCATTTATTTTCCTGTCGAATAAATGGTTTGTCACTGTTGAACATGTTAAATAAAGTGACTTTGCTGTCTTTGAAATATTTTTGTTTTATTGTCTTTAGAGACTGTCAAATTGTCCCTATAGTCTGCTTTATCTGACAAATTATCCCTTTAGTCTACTTCATCTGTAAAATTGTCCCTATAGTCTACTTTATCTATCAGATTGTCCCTATAGTCTATTTTATTTGTCGTATTGTCTGTATCTCAATCTCAGGAGACTAAGTGGTTGCCAACCGAGACATCTTTTTTCTAATACTTTTATCTTATACAATTTTATAATAATTTAATTGAAATAGGAAAATGACACTTTCAGAATCTCAGAGTGATTATTATTATTGATAAAAGGAGA